GGGTGTGCGGTCCAGGTCCTTAGCTGACTGCTGGAGCAGTTACCTGAGAGGGTCTGAAGTGGGTGGAGAGCTGCAGTTGTTGCCTTGGAGAAGATGCATCTGTTCCCTAGGAAGAGTGTACCAAGCAGAGGTTCAAGCTGATAGTTGGACTAGGCTGTAAAGAGAGGGCTGAGCGCTGCACCAGTTGGCACAGTCTTTGTTCAGGAGTGGAATGTAAACATTGAGATCTGTAATAACCCTGAAGATAAGTTGGGGTGTAAAGGATAACACTGCCTGTATCGTGAGTTCGGTTTGAGCTGGGGGTGGAATCCAAAGTGAATAATGCAGGCAGGGGGCTGGAGAGAGGATCTTGAAAGCAGCCGGGCAGGTGGTGAGACGTGTTTGTTCTTGTGCCATCCCTCCTGCAGGCACAACGACTACAAAGTGGCCTCCCCAGCACTGCGGGCGGTCGGCAACATCGTGACAGGAGATGACATCCAGACCCAGGTGAGGGCAGGACGGCCTACAGAGGCAGCACAAGGGAGCGGCGCTCCTGGTGCTGCTTTTGTGGAAGCTGGGCAGCGCGTCCCTCTTGTATGTGCAGCGAGTTCCTACAACCAAGGTTCCCAGAACACTCACTCATCTTGGAGTTTGGCTATTCCAAAGGCGTAGTTTTGGTGCAAAGAAAAATGTGGTTTTGAGATACAGAGATGGAGTAGCATACATTTCTTTATTGCACAACACTGCCTTTCCTTCCCTCTTCTTAAAAGGTTGGGGAGAGAAATGCAGTGCCCATGCAGCATATCCACTTGCTCTCTACCTGACACAGGTGGCCTAACTCCTGCTTTCTTTCTGAAAAGGTGATTCTGAACTGCTCAGCCCTGCCTTGCCTCCTTCATTTATTAAGTAGCCCCAAGGAGTCCATCAGGAAAGAAGCCTGCTGGACCATATCTAACATCACAGCAGGAAACAGAGCACAAATACAGGTACAGCTTTGAGTCTTCCCCGGGTCCCTTATAATAATCCTAGATTCCATGCTCAGCATTAATAATGAGATCTCTTTGGTTTTTCCCTTATCTGATGCTTTGTGGCAGCTTCTTGTGCATTGTTAATCTGACTTATTGCAGACTGGCTGTTTCTGTCCATTTGCCAAAGGAGCTAAAAAAAAAAAAAAAAGCTAATTGTACCTACAGAGGCTGTGAGTCTGTGGGTTGGATCGCTGGAAAAGAGATGCAGCCCCAATTTCTCCCTTCTCAGGAGTATCCCTTTGAAAGGCGTTAGCTTGTTGAGTTTTAATTATCCTTTTAATGGCCGATGTACAAAGGCAGATAAATGATGAAAGCATTCCTGCAGTATTGATGCAGCAATAGGGATCATCTGTGAGCTGGTCCCCACTCGATTACCTTGTGTGAATGGGGTTGGCTGGGGGATGGATTGGAGCAATGGCTGAAGGTAGTGGCTCGGGAAGGACTTTCTGAATTGGAAATGGAAGCAGAGCTTTCTTTCAGGTGCTTAACAGCCTTTTTAGAAACCGTGCTGCCCTTCAAACGCTACTGGCTGTTCTCTCTCCTCAGGCAGTCATAGATGCAAACATCTTCCCTGTGCTGATAGAAATCTTGCAGAAAGCAGAATTCCGTACAAGGAAGGAGGCGGCGTGGGCAATCACAAACGCGACGTCAGGAGGAACTCCTGAGCAGATCAGGTACCCCTGCAGCTCTGAGAGCTGCCAGCATTCAGACATTTCCTTTGTAGAACTGCTGAAGCGGTGAGGAACTAATTTGGGGAACCCCAGGGAGAGTGCCTAAGATGCATGCCAGGCCAATTAGATCCTCGCTGCTCGTAATTTCATTATCACCTGGATGTCAGAAGGAGCTACCTTAAAATCAGAAGGAAAAAAATGGGGTGGGAGGGGTATATATTAATAAATAGATGAATAACCTTGTAAGACAGCAAAATATAAAAATTACATCAGAGATTTCTTTCAGCTTGAACCACTTGTCCTGCTCTTTGTAACTGAGCAGTGCTGGTGCCTGCTATCCTGAAAGGTGAACATGTGCTCCTGGTCACCTCTTTTAGATACCTGGTCAACCTGGGTTGCATCAAGCCTCTGTGTGACCTCCTTACCGTCATGGACTCCAAGATCGTTCAGGTGGCATTGAATGGCCTGGAGAACATCCTGAGGCTGGGAGAGCAGGAGGCCAACCAGAGCGGGACGGGCATCAACCCGTACTGCAGCATGATAGAGGAGGCTTACGGTAGGTTCTGGTGCCGCTGACTTTGAGAACAGTAGAATATGTTGGGAGGTGTCTGCTAGTTCTTTTCGCTTTTCTGATGGTTGGAGTGGCTGGGTGTGCCCCAAACCAGCTGCTGTTTGTTCCACAGTAGATCACGCTGTCTTTAGAGTGTTATGATGCAGCATAAATAATGTCAGGAAGCAAAGACTGTTGTACTTGTGATCCAGGTTCCCTAGACTTAGAGGCCAGCCTGATAATTGTGGCTCTCGCTGTTGGGAATATTAATCAAAGTAAGCTGAGATGAGTGAGACCCACTTCATGGATCTTTGATTTGTCTAATTGTCCCCAGCTGTGCACTGCAAATGCATGATGGAAATCCAGAGAGACTTAGCTTTTCCCTGGAGAGACCTAATTTGGTGGCTTTGTCCTGTTCCTAAAGCTTTGAGGAACAGTTCCTATTTTGGTCTGAAATGCCCTGTATACTGGCAGTGGCTTTTCTCCTTTTTTTTTTCCTTGCCCTCTCACTGACTGTTACACTGTGTGTCCTGGTTCCTCCAGTAAGAATAATTCTTGAAATTCCTGAGCACGTGGTGCTTGGATTCTTTCTGTTCAGCACTGGATTTAATTAGGACAGCTAAAGCTGTTGCTGCCCTTCTGCTGGAGGCTACTGGGACGGGCCCTGCTTCCTGCAGCTGCAGAGCTGCTCACAGCCAGTGGTAGAAATTTCACTGACCAGTTCAGTGCTCGCAGTGCTTTGCTGGAGACTTCCTGCTTAACTGCATTAGCTAAACCTGCAACTGGAAAGATGAATGGTTGCTGATACAGATGGAATCCACAGGCAGCTGTGGAGAAACGGGAATAGTTAGCTTTAGCTGTCAGTGCTGCTCACAAAAGGCTCGTGTAACACAGACAAGCAATGAAGAGGGAAAGGGTGGAGGATGGATTGGGACAGCTTGAACGTTAGGGTCTCCTGTTTCTCATGTTCCACTTTTGTCTTTTCTAAGGCTTGGATAAGATAGAGTTCCTACAGAGCCACGAGAACCAAGAGATCTACCAGAAAGCCTTCGACCTGATTGAGCACTACTTTGGAGTAGAGGATGACTCCGCTTTAGCTCCCCAGGTAGATGAGAACCAGCAGCAATTCATCTTCCAGCAACCTGAAGCCCCTATGGAAGGCTTCCAGCTATAATGTGCCCCAGGCAAAGACCACCACAAATTTGCCAGAAAGCAACTGGGAGAAGCTGATTGTCCCATTCCTTCTCGCACATGGAAGGCTGAACACTCACTCCACCTGTTAGGAAACAATTCTTCCTTCAAACAACTAGAAAGAGTGCTTTATCCTCATGAAGAAAATGGGATGTCTTGCACGTTTTTTTTCTTTTTGCTGCTGCATACGTGTCTTTAAAGCAGGCATCTGGGTGGAGGAAGGACACTGAGGTAACAGATTGCACCTCTTGGGTTTTTTTTTTTCTTTGTGGTGATCTCTCCCAAATGTCACTTCTTACCTCGGGTACTTAATTGAGATTTCAGCGTTGGGTTGGGTAAGAACAGAAATAGAAAGTGAGTATTCTGACAAGAATAATTCTGGAAACCTGGGTTGATCTATTTAATTTTTTTGCACATGTTACTCTTATTAAAGACTCTAATTTGCCAAGAGCAGAGTTTAGCCCTGGCCTTTCTGCGCTCCTCTTGCAGCGGACAGTCCTGTCAGAGCTGGCCTGAGTTCCCCCAAACATGCTGTAAATGGACAAAGAAGCGAGAGGCTTCTGGGGGAAGGGTCCTTCCCCGTGTCCAGATTTTTTTTTCCCTGAAGAACTGCTGGTAGTATTTACAAGGATAAAAAGCAACAAACCCCAAAGCTGGTCACTGCGAAGAGGGCGGGATGCTGGGGTGGTCCTGGAACAGGAAGCACAGCTGCCACGGCACAGGCTTTGCATTGCTACTGATGGAAGCTGCAGGACTGCTGAAATGGTGGAACCCATCTTCATCTTTACTTGAATCCTCCCCAGGGCTGCGTTTCGGGTGCTGTGCTGCGTGCAGGGCGAGCTCAGCAGCACGGCGCCTGGGGCTCCAGGTTTACCTCCCGCTCACAGTCGGAACATGTACATTTTCCTTCGAGAAAAGAATCAAATCTCTGTATTTTTTATATTATATATAGGTAGCTATTTGTCTAATTGGGCTCCAGAGAAAACTATATATAAAATTTCTGTAACTTATGTAAATAGAACACTGTGAGGCAGGTGTGCCTGGAAACGACCCCGAGCTCGCTCCCTCGTCGTCCTGCTGCTTCTCCCGTTCACTCACGTACTGTACACGTAGCTCTTCGACCGCTCTGCTGGGCGCCAAGGTTTGCTCCTCACAGCCGCGGGGCTGAGGCCGGGAGGGGTGGGCCGGGCCTGCGTGCCTCTCGCCCCGCGTTGGTTTGCTGAGTCCGTGACTGTTGAACGAATAAAAACTTCTGTGCAGATGAGCGCGCTGTGCCGGAGCCGTGTGTGGAGAGGGCGGGCAGCGCGGGGCGGGCGCGGAGTCGTGAGGGCGGTGAGTTCCCGCCCGGGCCGCGCGCGGGGCACGCCGGGAGCTGTAGTGCGACGGGGGGGCGGGAGTGGCTCTCGCGGGGCACGCCGGGAGTTGTAGTCTCGCGGTGCTTGCCGCTTCTCGCCGCCGTCTCCCGGCAGCCCCCGCGGCTCCTCGTCGCCGATTGGTTGGCGGCGCGGGGCGGCGCCTGCGCGATGAGCGCACGCTGCGAGGCCCGGGCCGGAGCCGCTTCCTTCAGCGCGGGGCGGCGGGGCCGGCGGGGGGTGCGGCGATCATCTTCCCTCCCCCCTCCCCGCCGCTACACCGCAGCGCTGCCGGCTGCCCGGCGCTTATTGGCTGAGGAGAGGCGGCCGCCTACGTCAGAGCGCTGCCGCTGACGCCACGGGGGTACGCGCGTGACGTCATCGTGGTGCCGTGGGAGGAAGGGAGGCGTTGCTGACGTCACGGGGGGTCACGTGGGACGTCGGGAGCGGCCCGGGGGCTCCGGGCGGTACCGGGGGGAGGGGCGGCGCCGCGGCCGGGGCTCCTCGGGGGCTCCTCGGGGGCGGCCCCGCGATGCCATCCCTGGGGCGCGGCGGGTTCGGCTCCCCCGGCTCCGCGCCCCGCCCGGGCCGGCACCGCACGGCTCGCCTTCAGCCGCGGTTTCTCTTCCAGCGGGGCTCGGCGAGGCTGAGCAGGAGACGGCGCGGCGATGAAGAACCAGGGCGGCGAGACCAAGGCGGCCCCGCGGCCCACGGCCAAAACGAGCGGCGCTCTGGCGGAGGAGGGCGACCCGGCCGAACCCAGCGCAGCGCTGGAAGGTGGGGCGGTGCGCGGGGCTGCCGTGCTGGCGCTGCTTCTGTACAACGGGGGTCTGTTCTGTGCCACTGTTTGACCTGTGCCGGTGATTCCGGGGCAGAAGATCCTGCTCTCCCGCTGTTCCCACGTGCACGCAGTTCCAAATCGTTAGCGCTTCTTTCCCACAACGCGGAGTTGATTCTGACCTGGGATCGATGGGGTTGGCGTTGCTCGGTCCTTCAGGCTCACAGAAAGCTCTCCCGCAGCAACTGGTTCTGTTATTGGTGCTTTGTAACATTCAATTTCTGTAAGACAAAAACGGGTAATCGAGTAGATGGTGGTTAAAGATAACCTTGCCCCGCGTTCTAGTAAACGTGGAAATGAACAGCAGTTGAGTGAGTTTAATAACTGATTGCTGTAGGCTCTGCTTGGAAGGAATTTTGGATGCAGAGAAGTGCTGAGGGGCTGCTGGGGATGGGATGTGCTTCATCTGAGCCAGTACAGCTGCTCATATATGTGAGCAAAGAGGCTAGCTCAGATTATAAAATCTATTGTTGTGCTAAAAGGCATGGCTCTGGGGATATTAGCAGGCTGCTGCTCCGAGGGAAAGCTCACGCACAACCTGCTTTCGTTAGAGGGTGGTGGGGAGGGGGCAGTTCTTGCTCTTGACAGATGTCAGGGGCTTGGTCATGCTCTTGTGATCAAAAGAGAGGCTGTTAGGAATGCACCTCCATTGTCAGGGCAGCTGGCTGGAGGCACAGCCTGAACAAAGCAGCTTGTGTGCTGGGAGTGTAGCAGTGAGGTGCTCGGGGAAACCTTCCCTTTGCTGCATGTTTGTAGAGAGCAGAGAATAGGTGGTGTGGGGAAGCATCTCGCTTTTGTGCTCGTATCTCCACAGCTCCCCTCGCACAGGAGGACACAAAGTCCTCCCGGCCTGCCGTGCGGGATGTCTCTGAAGAGCTGAGCAGGCAGCTTGAGGACATCTTGAACACGTATTGCGTGGATGCCAGCCAGGAGGGTCCAGGAGAGGACGGCGGGCAGAGTGAGGCTGTGGAGCCAGAGGAAGTGGAGAAGTGTCGCAGTGAGTCCCCGAGGAACGGAGATCAGGAGTCAGGCAGCCCTGAGATGAATGGGGAGAAGGAAGGCACGAAGGGAACTGAAGAGTTTCGACCCGGAGAGGAGTGTGGGGAGCGGGATCAGAAGAAGGCTCAGGAAAAGAAGAAAGCCAAGGGCCTAGGTAAGAGGTTTCCTGCTGTGGCTGTGCTACCAGCCTGAGAGCTTTGGTGCAGATGTGGATTTTATACTGCACTGGGTCCCATTAGAGAGATGAATGCCTTAAGTATGTTTGAAAATAGCAAGGCATCTTACTCTTGTGGCATGCAAGGAAACAGAGTGTTTCAAAGACTCTGATCAGTCCTGAGTGCTGCTGCAGCCTCTGAATTGTGCAGATTTCCCCTCTGCTGGACACAGCTTTGTCTAGTTAGTCCATTGGTGGTTCCCCACTCTGATAACCAGGTCTCTCCTCAGCTGCTTCAATTGTTCACCTGCTGAATGCAGTGAGATCTGGGGGACAAACCCCAGTAGGCACTGGAGATGGGAACTCTGGGCCAAGATGGCCACAGATGTGAGACCTGGTTTGTCTCTCCTGTCCTTACCTTTATAAGCCAGAACTCTGTGTAAGTGCTGTCATCTTTCTGTTTAATTCTGTGTCTTGCGCCAGGCAAAGAAATCACTTTGTTGATGCAGACCCTGAACACCCTGAGCACGCCAGAGGAGAAACTGGCAGCACTGTGCAAGAAATACGCTGAGCTGGTGAGTCCTTGTTTCTTCATTCCAGGCTCTGGGGCAGTGGGAGGACAGAGTTGCAGCGAGCAGTGGGACAGCTGGCCACGTGCTCAGGGCTCTGCTCTGTTTAAGTAGTGTAGGAGGTCCTGAAGGAAGGTGCACCTCTCACAAATTCCAGTAGGATGCTAATTCAGGAAGGAGAAAGGCTGTGTGCAGGGAGACCTTGGGTTCTGTATTGATCTTACTGTGCTTTTGTATTATAAAGCTCTCGTCCTTCCCTCAGAGTAGTCAGAACACCTATTTGATCTCTGTGTGCCCTTATATGGGCACAGCATTGCCCTGGTCTTTTTTGCTGCATCTCTGCCCTCTGCTCTCCTACCCTAGCTGGAAGAGCACCGAAACTCCCAGAAGCAGATGAAGATTTTGCAGAAGAAGCAGACACAGCTGGTGCAGGAGAAGGACCATCTGCAGAGTGAGCACAGCAAGGCCATCCTGGCCCGCAGCAAGCTGGAGAGCCTGTGCCGTGAGCTCCAGAGGCACAACCGCACCCTCAAGGCAAGGCGTCTCCTGGGACTGCTGCAGGAGCTGCTTTGTCCCAAACACAGCCTGCTGCAGGGCTGTGAGCCACTGTGACAGACGTACTTTTAGGAGTGGGTGCCCACAGTCTGATGTCCGGAGCAGGGCTTCAGTTCTGCTGTTAATCGATCGTCTTGCAAGGGTTAGGAGGGGAGGGAGCTGACCCCTGTGGTCCTCTTTTGAGGGAAGCAATGTTTAGCGGGTTTGCTCAGCTCTTGGAGTGACAAAGCTGCCAAGCAGTGGCCCGCAGTGCCTTCCTGATTGATACCAACAGCAGTGGGAAGTTGGGTGGTTCAGATCATCACGGCCCAGGGAGGTTTGTTCACCTGCCTGCCCAGCGCAGAGGCTGATGTGGCCTTGCTGTCTGCCCTTCTAACACAGGAGGAAGGTGTCCAGCGAGCACGAGAGGAAGAGGAGAAGCGGAAGGAGGTGACATCCCACTTCCAGGTGACGCTGAATGACATCCAACTCCAGATGGAGCAGCACAACGAGAGGAACTCCAAGCTGCGCCAGGAGAACATGGAGCTGGCAGAGCGGCTCAAGAAGCTCATTGAGCAGTATGAGCTGCGGGAGGAGGTGAGTCGGGCCTGGCGTAGCCTGCTGTGGTTCACCCACTGTGGAGAGCGTTTCCAGGGCAGAAACTGCTGCTGGAGGGGAGACGGAGCCCTTGGGCTTTGAGGTCATTCCTTGGGATCCGTGCCACACGGGTAGCAGGGCCCTGGCCTCGCATGTCAATGACTGGTGGCGTTTCCTTTGGCAGCACATTGATAAGGTGTTCAAACACAAGGACCTGCAGCAGCAGCTCGTGGATGCCAAGCTCCAGCAGGCACAGGAAATGCTGAAGGAAGCAGAGGAGAGACATCAGCGGGAAAAGGACTTTGTAAGTCTTATGATTCTCTACTGGTTATAAGCACTTAGCTGTTTGTATGCAGCAGTGACCGTTCCCCCAGCTGCCTCAGAAGCAAGGCTGGAGCCTGAGCTGTTGGTGCTGTTCCTCCCAGCCCTCTGCTGACTCCAGGCCAAGCACCAGCAGCGTATGGCATATTGAGGGCTTTCTCTGGCAGCAGTGAGGTAACTGCTTTTGCTCTTTCCCAGCTGCTGAAGGAAGCTGTAGAATCACAGAGGATGTGTGAGCTGATGAAGCAGCAGGAGACTCATCTCAAGCAGCAGGTGAGTTACCTCGTCTGTGTATGTGTGCAGCCTGGTCATTTTTTCCCTTCCTCCTTCAGCAGGGAACAGCCTGAATTTCCTTAATGTGAAAACCACAGAGGCAGGGATGTTCTTGAGTGTGATATTTGTGTGCCTGTGTGAAGCGCAGTGTGAGATGAAACCTTCCTCAGCTTCTCCTCCTTGTGCCAGAAAGGAGCCCTGGTTTCACCAGTGTGTTTCCCAGTGCTCGGAGCAGTTGTGTGATCACACTTTGCTGAATCAGACCCAGCAAGTGCTTCCTGCCAAGGCTGGGAGGTGTTTGGAGAACACACTGCTCTCTAAGGGTGTTTCCCTAAGAGAGAAGAAATATTGTTCCACATTCTGCAGTACCTAATGCTGGCAGAGCAGCCCCTTGCTGCAAGTTTGTTAGTCATAAAGTCCGGTCACAAGACGACTGGCTCACTTCTTGGCTGACGTCTCCCTGCTCCTGGGAAGGGCCATCAGGAGGTGCCATGTTGAGGAGCTGTAACTCTGTCTCTCCCCACAGCTGGCTCTCTACACAGAGAAGTTTGAAGAATTCCAGAACACCCTTTCCAAAAGCAGTGAAGTGTTCACAACATTTAAGCAGGAAATGGAGAAGGTAGGTATTGCTGCCGCTGCCTGCAGTGGCTGGCAGGCTGGGTGCTGCCTTTCTCTCCACTTACTCTGTGAGCTGGATGAGCAGCAGCTGTATTGTTCTGTTGAGTTATGCTGGCATTAAAATCAGGCACAAACTGATTGCTGATAGAAGGTGGATGCTGGACTCGTGGGGTGATGGCTGTACCCCTCCTGGATGAGGAAAAGCAGCACTACCACTGTCTCCTGGTTTATTGTTGGTTTCCCACTAACGCAGCTGCAGTAGGACCAGAAGACATTTCCCAGGACAGCAGGATCTTGCTGTCTGCCCTGGAGAAGTGGGAGTCCATTGGAGTACACGCGAGACGTGCCTGACTGCATTATTCTGGCTTATCAGTTGCCTGTTTGTCACTGTTCTGCAGATGACAAAGAAAATTAAGAAGCTGGAGAAGGAGACCACAATGTACCGCTCTCGCTGGGAGAGCAGCAACAAGGCTCTCTTGGAAATGGCTGAAGAGGTGAGGAGGCTGGGGCTGTTGTGTGCTCAGGCAGGCAACTGAGTGGTCTTTGAGCTTCCCTCTGAAGTTTCATCTCTCTTCCTTTCTGCCTTCGTCCCCACTGTGGTAGATCTGAACCGCTTCTCTGTTTGCAGAAAACCCTTCGGGATAAAGAGCTGGAGGGGCTTCAGGTGAAAATCCAGCGCTTGGAGAAACTGTGCCGAGCCCTGCAAACAGAGCGCAACGACCTCAACAAGAAGGTGCAGGACCTGTGTGCCCACACGGCGCGGGCAGACGTGGAGCCGACAGAGGCTCTGAAGGAGCCATCGCGGGGGGGCTGCGAGGCGGGAGCTGGAGGAGCCCCGGCAGAGCAGCGGCTGGCTGAGGATTGCCTGCACTCGGGAAAGGCGGCGCACAGCACAGATCCTGCGGAAAGCCTTGGAGAACTGAGCACAGGAGCCTTGGGGCAGAGCGGGACTGAGGAAGGCGCTCAGGGTGCTGACTGAGCCTGCTGTGTGGTAGGCGGGAGGAGGGTGAGGGAGGGTAGCAGGAATGTTTGCAGGCTCCATCTGAAGCCCTTCTCCTGGTCCTTGGATGGGGGCACGAGGACGGCCCTCCTTGGGCTGTGAAATTTCCTAGCTTAGGCTTTTGGAGGGTTTTTTAAATGTTTATATATATATACACATAGATGATGTGTGTGTGTATATATGAGATATAAAATACGTGCAGGGCAACATACACTTTATATATGAATATATATGAAATCTAGAATGACCCACCTCCCTGCGTGTGTGAATAACTAATATATGGAGACTCAACTGATTGTCCCTGTCACTGAAAGACCTTGTCATTGGCAGGCTGCGACTCCCCTAAAATGTAGTGCAGCACAGGAAAGCAAGGGCACGGATCGGCCCAAGCCCTCCGGCTCACGGCACCGGGACAGCAGGACACGGCGCTTCCTCCACCTTCACGGCAATGCTGTCACACTGGGTGAGAGCAAAAGAACTGAGCAAGGGAGAACATGAGCATTTCCCAGCGCTGGATTCTCCCTCCCTGATCTGCATCAGGCAGGAGGCGGCTCCTGGACTTGCTGTTGCTTCCTCACGCCCTGGCTGGCAGCTCTTTCTTGAGCAGAACCGTCCAGTTCCCCTCTTGTATGGGTTTTGTGTATTGAACGGGGACAGAAAAGCAGAGAAACTGGGGACACCGGATTTGCCCAGGCACCCTGCAGGGCCTTTGCTCTTCCTAGAACCTGCCAGTGTTTCAATAGCCTTATGATTCACAGTTGCCTCTTTGCTATACGCACATGTGCACAAGTATATTAAACAGTTAATCCAAAGGTCTAACTCCGAAGTGTTTTGCACAAGCACCTGTGATTAGTTGTGCAAGGGGAGCGGGACGCCCTTGTGACCGAACTCCTCTGCCCTGCCTCAGGACCGTCCCTTGGTGTTGAGTGGGGTGGTTTCGGAGGTATTCATGGAGCTGGGGCTCCCGGAGGATCAAATTTGTGGCTTCTCCATGACCTGAAGCTGAATCGCTGGGACCAGCTCGAGGCTGGTGCTGTGAGCTGATTCCTTTTGCAGCGTCACACCCTGCAGACAGGCTGTGCTGCCTGGGCCTCTCCTTCCCCTCTGCTTTTTCAGAACAGCATCTCCCAGATGCTGGCAGTCACCAAGTCTGAGCTGCTGCCGCTGTCTGGGAGGGCTGTGATGGGCACAAGAGGCAATCTGGTGCAGAACTTGGGGGATTTCTCCTTAGTTTCTCAACACTTCCCTTCTTTCACTACTCGTTTGGGAGACATCGACTTGCTTGAAAACCTCTTGCTGCAGCTTCTCTTTACAGCAGACTATTTTCAGCATTGCCTTCCTTTTGCTTGAAGCTGAATTGAGCTGGCTGAGCTGTTCCTCACAGTGAATGCATTCGGCAGAACAGTTTTGGTTTCTTTTCTGGCCGCAGCTGCTCTTGCATCTTCTCTGCAGCTGTACAGCGCCCTTGGAAGGACCTGCCGTGGGAGCTGCCTGCAGGAGGCGCTTCTGCCTCCCCCTTTATTCCCTGGGGATTCCAGAGAGTTCGGGTCTAAGGAGAGAGGCTGTTGAGTCTAGTGAAGCTCCACGGAGCCACAGTCTTGAACATCCACTGCCATGTGCTCCCCAGGGCTTTCTGGGCTGCTTCTGGCCCTGCGCTGCCTGCGTTGCTTCCTCCTGGGTGGGTTGCATCTGACTTGGGCAGGAGTGTTCTGGAGCACATGAAGGTGGTGGGAGAGAGGGCTGCAGCCTGGCACTGGATTTTTCTTTCCTGCCCTTTCAGTCAAAGAAAAATCCCTCAGAAAGTCACAAACACCTTCACTTTTTTTTTTTTTTTTTCCTGTTATGGCACAGATAACCTCTGTGGGGAGCTGATGTATGTATCTTTGTATCCAATAGAAACACCCACAAACTCACTGCTGCTGTCTGTGTTATTTCTCATTCATTGAGGATCGTGTTTGGGAGTGAAATCTGGGGCACTGAGTGGAGTGGAGTGGCTGGGGGGAACCTTCATTTGCAAAGGTGATGGCACATCTGTGCCACCAGACAACTGGGGGAGGAAGTCTGTGCCTGGGACACCCAGCACCGGGCAGTTTGTTGCTCTTCCCTCCCTGTGATCTGGGGGTTCCTGCGGTCCCGCGTGCCAGAGGATTGAACCCTTGTTCTTGCAAGGGCAAATCTGTGGTCACACAAATCAGGTGATGCTGAGGAGACTCACGGTGGACCCTGGATGGTTTAAGGGGTTGGCAGGCAGTGACATCCCCCCCCATTTCTACCAGGATGCTCGCAGGGAAGGAGCCCGGGTGCAGACCCCATACCTACCCCAGACCCTCGCTGCGTGCACGGCTGCCGCATCCGCTCCAGCTGTGCAGAATGGAGGGCCGGATCCTGCCCTCCCCATGTAACGCTGGTGCTGCGGTCCGGGGCCATCTGCGCGCTGTGGCCACTCCAGCGGGCGGCGTTCGGCGCTGCAAGGCGGCGTCCAGCGGCGTCCCTCCAGCAGGGGCCGGGCTGTGCTGAGGCCGGAGGAAGGTCCCTTTCCCTTTAAATGCAAATCGCAGCCCCAGGGCTCCGGGAACACAGTTGGTCCAGCGGTCCTGGGGACGCAGCCGGGTGGCACCGAAGGCCGGAGGAGGTCCTCGCACAGGTCGGTGTTTCCATGCCGCTGTGGTGCGGCGCCGGAGCCCGTAGAACAAATGGGCTTCCGCAGCACCCGCCGCATCACCCCGTCCTGCCACCGTCAAGGGCCCAGGGGGCAGAGGAGCTCGGTGGGGGCCGAAATACGCTGGGGAGGGTTCAGGGATGTCGGGTCCCTCCTGCAGTCTCTGCCCTGGCTCCGGGAATCGGGAGTCCTCCCCTGCTCCATGGGGGCTGAAATCCTCTTTTCTGCAGCTCTGGGAGAAGACGCTGAGGAATAATCCCCGGCTGGGAGTTCCCCCGGTGTTTTTCAGATCGCAGGCTCTGCTCTGTGCCGTGATGTCCCACCGCAGACCGGGATGAGGCAGCCTGAGCCTGGCTGCTGACCCCAGTGTGGGGGCTGAGCTCTGTCCTTGGCTTCCCGGCTGCCGTGAGGACCAGGAGGCCCCGCGTGGGGAAGTGCTGCCAAGAGCTTTGTGTCCATCCTGTCCTGCTCAGGTGCTTCCTGCGTGGCTCTGGGATGGAGGAGCGGAGGAAGAAGCGGAGCCCCAGAGGTCAGCTGGCACCCGCCAGGGCATCACGGCTTCTGCCCACCAGCAGGAGCGCATCCTTCGCCCTGCCGCTGCCCGCCCTGCCCTCACAGCGTGCCAGGCCCCGGCGGTCAGTGCTGGGGTGGGGGAGAGAGCAGTGCTGGGGGGATGGGCTGGGGTGTCACATCATCCGTGTCTTCTGTGCAGGGCGAGCAAGGAGAGGGTGAGGGCAGGGGCAGCGCGGGGGGCCCCGCTGCAGCACAGCTTCCTCACCGAGGTCTCTGATGTCTGCGAGATGGAGGGCGGGCTGCTCGGCCTGCTCAGCGACTTCCACTCAGGCAAACTGCAGGCCTTTGGTGAGTGGCCGGGAGCCAGGGGACACGGGGAAGAGGGGGGCACGCTGGTGGGTGGTGACAGCTCTACTTGTGGGTGCAGGGAAGGAATGCTCCTTCGAGCAGCTGGAGCACGTGCGTGAGATGCAGGAGAAGCTGGCGCGGCTGCACTTCGGCCTGGATGTGTGTGTGGAGGAGCTCCCGGAGGAGCAGAAGAAGCTGGTGGCTGACAGGAACCTGGACCAGCTGCTGGCACACGTGAGTGGCGTCTCCTCACCACGTGCCCGGCCCTGCAGCGCTGATAGGCGCCTCAACCTCTGCCTTTGCCTCCTGCAGCTGGAGGAGCTCAGCAGCTCCATGTATCCTGCAGGGCCGTGGGGTGGCGGTGGTGCTGGTGGTGGTGCTGGTTCTGGTGGTGGTGGTGCAGGGCACGTGCCGTCCCGCCGTGCTTTCCCTTGACAGCAACGCAGTCAGAAGCTGCACCTGGCCGAGAGCCCCAGCCCTGAGGAGGCCGCGGCCTGACAACCGCCGGCTGCGGGGAGGCGGCCCCGCGGGATGGGGAGGACGGGACGGCGGAGCCCCCCTGGCCCACCCTGCGGGGCCGACGGCGGTGACGCGCGGGTCACCGAGCTCCCCACACCCCCCTCAGCCGCCATTTTGGTCGGCCGCGCGCAGCGGTGCTGTGACGTCATCGGACGGCGCGGTGACGTCATCGGACGGCGCCCTCGTTGCTACGGAGGCGATGGCGGCGGCTCCGGGTCCCCGGGAGGAGAGCGCGGAGAGGCGGCGACTGCTGCGCGCGGTGACCCGGCTGCAGGTGGGGCCGTGGGAGGCCGCGCCGCGCTTCATTAAAGCCGTACCTCGCTCCGTACCTGGCCGTGCCGCTTCTTTTCCGCCGGGCCGCCGTCCGGGCGCTGAGCCGCTCTCCCCGCCGCTCTGCCCGCAGGCCGGAGTCCGGGGCTTCCTGCTGCGGCGGCGGCTGCGGGGCGTGCGGGCGGAGTACGAGGAGGTGGTGAGGGAGATCGAGGGGGAGCTGAGCGAGCTGCGCTGGACGGGCCTCTGTCTGCCCAGACCCGTCTTCGTCTCCGAGGTCCGTGCTGGTGCGGGGCGGGCCGGGGCCGCGGCTCTGTGCGGGCGCTGGGCGCGGCGGGGCCGCGTGTTGGCAGCGGGCTGCCTTGCGGCCTCGTCACCGGAGGAAACGGGGCGGTTGCGCGGCCGAGGCCCGCCGTGGGCTTCCCGCTGACCGATCGTTGCCTCCCGCGGGTGAAGCTCAGCTCCGCTCGGAGCTCCAACTGCACGAGAAACTGCGCGCTTCATGTGCCGAGCTCCCGTCGGTCTGCCCCCATCCCGCGGTGGCTGAGCGCTGCTCGTAGCGCGGCTTCCCGTCCTGAGAGAAAGGCCTGGGGCAAAGTTTGCGGTGGTTCAAATCGCAGCGTCAGGTGTTGTGGCAGAGCTGCTGGTAATGCAGATCTCTGGGTAGGACAACGGCTGCCCTGCAGCGCTGCCCCTTTCAGAGCTTTCTGTGCTTTTTTTTTGTTTGTTTGTTTTTTTTATGTCTGTCTGTCCTGTTTTTCACTTTTGTCTCCTAGAAGCCAGTGAAAGAGAAGCGCTCACCTCTGCGAGAAGCTGTATTGAGTGACAAGGACAGCACAGAGAAAACACAGCAGGAACTGGATGTTCCCAAACCAGAATGGGACTGGGGCTCCAGCAATAGCGTGAAACCTACAGCCCAGCTGCAAAGTGAGAAAGAACTGAGTTCCGTGGGTGAATGCAGGGTAGCAAGCCCTGCAAATCTAGGGGCAGTCACAGGTAAAAGCACTGAAAAAAGGTGCAGTGCCCCATCGGAGAGCAAGGAGTGGCAGAACAGCAGCAGCATTTCATCTGTATGGGACAGCACTGACCTGGAACCAGGCTCCCTCAAAGCCTGCCTGGGTAAGAGACAGCAGTCCCTGCAGTGTGGTGTTCTGCTGCGTGGGTTGAATAACCAGGTGCAGGTGGTGAAGTAGGACTTTGGAGAATCGAAGCCTTGAGAATGTACTGGAGACGTCAGAATCTCTCACTGCAGGAGAGAGATGCAATTTCAGTATTCTAACAGTAGCTTCTTCCAATCCTTTGCAGAAATTCCACTTGTGGATGTAAAGGAGCTTCCCCGAACTCGGCCTGGCCTCCAGTCCTTCAGGAATCACTTGATCATGGAGCTGCTGTGGTTGCAGCAAGCTATTGACAGCCGTAAAAATGTAAGGGCTTGCTCTGCCTCTTGGTCAGAGGGGTTCCATCTGTGATGGGGTGAGAGGCTGGGTGGTGGGGGTCCGCTTTCCTCGGGGTTGGATCAGATGATGGCTGTGCCTTTTTTTTTTTTTTTTTTTTTTTTGAGAGAGAGTGAGGGGAAAAAAATGAAAAAGGAAAGCAGAAGTTGTTTAGATTTGGCTGTAAGCTTCTGTCCTGCTACAGAGAGGCTGCTGTTTGATAAGTGCTGTGTGTGTGTAATACAGTAACGTGCCTAGGAGCTATCTCACTTAGCAAGCTGCTGTTGGCATTGGTTAGGGTGCAGTTCATGTGAATCTTCTGGCCAAGTGTGATGACTTTGGCTAAACTGCAGGTGCTTTCCTGCTTCTGGGTCTCTGAGATCTAACTGCTAACATTTGATTTTCTTTCTCTTGTAGTACCTGAAGCTGAAACAGAGGCTGGAGTCTCCTGACAGCTAGGAAGGCATTCCTGAGCATGTGGGATGTTTTGTACTGCTGTGGGGGAGCAGAGGAGCTGCAGCACCAAAGTCACAACATGATTTCACAGCAGCACCCTGGGGAAACTCCAACTCTGTGAGCTGATGTTCTCCTAACCAGATTCATGTGGCAAAAGACTTTTGTTTCTTTTAAATGTGAATATTTGGTCAAAGCAGGAATGAAGTGACACTAAGGAGGTTCTGTGTCTTGGAGGAAGTCCTCCCTCCCTGAGAACCTGTCCTAAGGGTAAATTGAGGCTGGGAAAGTTGTCACAGAAGTTCCACTTTGACCAGCTCCTTGCTTGTGGTGGAATTAAAATGCCTGAAGGCCACAGGGGCTTTGAATCTGTACGATGAACTTCTCCTCCACTCAGCTGTGGGTGATGTGCACCACTGTGTGAGCTGTATTTTTCTGTACTTCACCACTCTGCAATGCCTGGGATCTCCAAGTGCCTGTTTTGACCCAGGGCAACCAGTGCAAGGGGCAGCGTATCTGCCATGGCGTGGATGTTTGTCCACCATGTGCAGAATGGAAACCTGCTGCATGCTTCATGCAGTAGCAGGTGATGGCATGGGGATGACAGCTTCAGGTATTGCTGCTCTGGGTGACATGCAAGCTGCTGCCAGAGATACTGGCACTGCCCCTCTGAACTGCTTCATTTGAACCTGTTGGCCATGGTAGTTAGCATGGGGTGAGGTTTAAAGAGCTGTGTGGCTCCTGGCTCTCAGATGGCAGTGTTTGCAGGTTGTTTGATGTGGCTTCAGCCTGGCCCACAGCTCCTGCTGCAGCCGTGGTGACGGGCAGTTGCTCAGGGGACTGAGGAGGAGGGGCAGCAAAACACAAAGGCCAGAAGGGCGCAGGCTGAGTGGGAGAGCTGCTGGAGCTCTGCTCTGTGCTCTGCGTCTGTCTGTCTGTCTGCCTCTCTGACCCATGGGGAATGAGCTCCCGGCGCTCAGCTCTGCCTCATCCGGCCAAGAACGTGGTGGTGTATCGCAACGGCGACCCCTTCTTCCACGGGAGGAAGTTTGTGGTGAACCAGCGGCGGCTCCTGACCTTTGAGGCATTTCTGAGTGAGGTGACTGAGGGCATTCGTGCGCCCTTGGCTGTGAGGAATCTCTACACACCCCAGCATGGCCGTCGCGTTGCTGAGCTGGCTGACCTGCAGGATGGCTGCCAGTACGTGGCTGCGGGCTGTGAAAAGTTCAAGAGGCTCGAGTGAGTAGATGGTCCTTTTGTCTCTGGGTTTGGTAAGCAGTTCTAGATATTTTGAGGTGTAAATGGAGGGGGGAAGGAAAGGGTAAACAGGTAAAAAGGATGCAAACCCAAAGAAAAATACAGAGAGGTTAGTTTCTTTCCCTGGTGGAATTTTCTGGATGTATTTCAGGTTGCTTGGGAAATGCACGTATTGCTGACAAGGTCACTGACTCTTGAAAGAAAAAATGCTGGGGGAGATGTGCGGTCTCCTTTTGGCTGTGTGAGATCGGTGCTGCTTTGCCTCACATGCACCATTTCGTGGGGTGTGGGAGGTTCTACAGAGTTGCCAGCCACAGTTTCCGCTCTGATAAGCACTGTTTCTCTGGGTTAGTGGAGGTTTCTTTTGTTTTCTAATTCTGCACGAAGTCGAGCTGTTCAGGTTCATCCTGAAATACAGAGGGCTGAGAGATTCGTGGCATCGCTTCAGTCTTGAGTGTGTGAGATGTGTGTGTGCTGGGTGAGTTTGGCTCCCTGACTGCATGCTGCATCCTGTTGAGGTGGTCCTGATTGAGCAGCAGTCCTTGGAGCAGCAGTCAGTCCTTGGAGCCTTATCGTTGTTTAGCTCAAAGGAATAAAATGTTCTGGATGTCTTGGTCTGTGTTTGAGTGGGATTTCTTAAATAGGCTTTAATTGTGGAAGCTCGTGAAATGAAGAATGTGGAGGATTTTAAACATGACCCAAATAATAAACACGCATACTGGCAACGAATCAACAGAGCAGTCATTTTCTCACTGCTCTTCAGTCATGGCCTGGTTGGTGCACTGCAGTGTCATCTCTTGTTCTTGTAGCTATTTAAATCATGGGAGGAAGGAGCTCCGTGGGACAAACAAGAGCAACAGTGTGCAGGTGAGTCTGAGCTGAGCGTGGACAGGCAAGAGCACAGACTGAGCTAGGAGGGATGGCTGAGAGCTGGCACTGGTGTAACACAAGTTGAAACTTAAGGCTGCAACGTGTCCAGCAGAGATCCTGTGAAAATGACACAGGAATCAGTAGGGTGATGTGTGAAACGATGCAGGGGCTGCTTAACAGTGAAGGGAAGAAGGATCTGCTCAGAGGTTCTGGAATGCACTCAAGTATGTGAAGAACCTCTCCAGGGCTTCGTGTTGCTGACAACAAACCCCACCTAGCAGCAGCAAGCTGAAGGCAGGATGGGCACCTGCTGCCTGGTGAAGAAAATGGAACAGCTCTGGAAGCTTTGTGCCAGAGCTGTCTGTTTTTTGTGCATGAATTTGTCTCCAGCCCTGCGCCGCAGCCCCCTGGAAGCCCAGCACTGCAGTGCAGCAGCAGAAGCCCACCCACCTTACAGTACAGTAAGTGCCTCAGTGCTTTCTGCTGGGAAGGTATTTGGGAACATTTTGGAAGCTGAAGTAGGGAATTCCTGTGTGAGATTCTGACAATCGTAGAATCATTAAGGCTGGAAAAGATTACTGTGATCATCCAGTCCAACTGCCCACCTTCCACCAGTATCTCCCCACTGTTGTGTTCCTCAGCACTACAGCTGCACACCTTGTGAACACTTCAGGGACGGAGGCTCAGCCCCCAGGCAGCCCATTTCAGTGCCTGACCACCCTCCTGGAGGTGGTCTTCTCAATATCCAAC